TAATTTACATGGAGACACTATGTCTCTTAGGATAACTGTCACCCTGGGGGTGAATGAAAAGTGTAAATCTGCCCCCGTGAGATGTATCTTCGACCAGTAACTCCTTTTTGGGGAAATGGAACCAGTGCCCTAGTGAAGCACTAGAGGATGACCTCGGGGATACATTGGTGCAGTTGTGATCCGAAGTCTTGCTTGATCTTCAACCATCTCTGAAATATTCAGGATCTATTTATATTCACTATGCCTGACGTACGCTTATCCCACAACTGACGAGTATTTCGGTAACCAATAACCACCTAGAGCAATGTGTGGGAGTTGAATTAGGGATTTGAATGTTAGTTTTAGGATATAAATATATTCACTTCCCTCACTTGTATTTGAGGCTAACGCCGCTCTACCTACTCATTATTATAAGCTATTGTATTTTGCTCTTGTCAAGCTGGGAAATTAATCTTTACTTTGCAGCGTTGTGGCTCATAAACTATCTCAATAAGATCATTCTTTCCTTTGCTTATTTACTTTATTCGCATTAATATCATGGTTTATTGCTTATTTAGCCAAGCAAAATGAGTTATTCAACCTAGCTCTGATTTAAACCGCTTGTTAGTGAATTAAAAGTAAATTAAATTCTTTTTGACCTGGAATTGTTTTTGGGTTAAACAGATAACATTCTACCCATTCAAGAGTTCTGCAACATAATTTTCCATAAAAGCGTTGGATACATTAACCAAATAGATAATGTATTCCAAAATATTAAAACAATATCTGGATGTATGTTTAATACCCAAGCATGGCAATAGCTATATCAACAATGAAGTCTCGTGTACGTATATTAGATTTCCCAAAATACATGCCATAGAATCCTCTAAACTAAAGACGTACATAAGTGATGGCACGAGACAAGCCTCTAGAGCTCATCCAGAATAAATTCAAGTCTATAATCCTAGCACCCATAATTTTATATAAGAGGAATTTTTAGAAACCGCTATTGTTTAGTGGCTATTAACTTCCTATAGCTGCCATATACATAATTACTTTCTATAGCTACTATTCAGTTGTTACGGTAGTGTATTCGCGTTGTTGTATTCATGAATACAGCGGCAAAAAGCGCCTAAAATCAGGGCAGTCCAGCTGTGCGCGCATGTATTCACATGTATTCGTGCAATGTATTCATGAATACAGTAACGTCAATCACCTTAAAAATAGGTATGTCCAGCTGTCTAATAATGGAAACAATATCAATTAGCGTGATACACTCCTAATATAACTCAACAAAATCAATTCTACCATGCCTCATTATCAACCCATAGAATGATTTTTCAGTTGTATTTAACTTTTGTATATAGTGTGTTTCAATTTTTTTTTTACTGTTGCATTCATTAGATTCAATATTTGTATTTACTGTATTCGTCATTTTATATCCAGTGTATTCAAGTGTATTTGTATTAATAAATATACAAGCAAAAAATAATTTATTTATACAAAAATACAATGTATTTGAGTGAATTTGTACAGAATACAATGTATTTATATTATTGTGAAGAGAGAGAGAGAGAGAGAGAAAGAAGAAAAATTTGGGATTTTGAGAGAGAATCATGTGTTAATTGAAAGAAAGAGAGAGGGAAAACATAAATAACGTATTTCACTCCTCAATTGTAGTATATACCATAAATATAAATTTTGCTATAAAATATAAAAAGTAGCTATAGAAAATAATATTTTAAAATAATTTTGGTTTACAATAAATAAGGTATATACCTTTGTTATAGGAGGTAAAATTCCTTTATATAATTATATCCCGTAAATATCCTACTTCTGATAAGGTTGGAGAGACACTTTGGGGATACATGAAAAATACATGAACGGTAAAATAGCATAACATTTGAGGAAAGCAATAAGCCATTTAAATTATTTCATGAAAATTTAAAGCATTTCAAATCTTTAACGATTTCCATAAAATAATACTTTCAACGAGGAGTGTCAATAGTTTATGTCAATAACGATAATCATTGTCTAAGGTTGACCTTCAGCCGGTCAATAGGGTCGTCTCACCTAATGTCGTAGGGTATTGACGATGGTGCTAGCACTATCGTTGAATGAATAAATGAGAACTCACTCCCAACTAATAATGACCCTTCAATTCAAATTAAGACCTAACATAAACGTACTAATATAACCAAAAATTAATCCCAACTAATATGTATCGCCTAAAGGTTTTCTTTTTTTTTTTTTAAATTTTGCCTCTGCATGGGTTCCAAGCGCGTGTTAGTCTTTTCGAGCCAACTTTCTTCTATGTAATTTTTGGGTCTACCTCTTCCTTTTCTAATACCTTCATTCATCTGATTTTGCATCTAGAGGCCGGTGCTTCTAGAAATTGGAGTAGCATACGACCAAAACCATCTTGAGCGATCTTCTCCTATTTTATTCGTAATGTATGCTATGTGCACCTTCTGTCAAATACGATCATTTCTAATCATTCTAATTTTATATGAACGTATATTCATCTTAATATTTGCTTCGCTGCAACATTCATGTTGTGCTTATGTTAAACTTTGCAGTTCAACATTCACTCCTGCATAACATTGTTAGTCTAACTTGTTTTATTTTCGTACACAACACTTCTGTTAATTTTTCCATCTTGTGATTCTATATGAAACATCAATGTCTCCATTCTCCTTGAACGCCAGGGCTTAAACATCAAAAATGTTGGCATTTAAGCATATTAGTGAATGGACTTATATGGTTGCTATAGGCCGATATGTATGAAATTAATATAAACGGTCTATATTACTAAGAATCACAATGATATAATTAGCATAGGTTATATGACTACAACCATATTAGTGAATGGACTTACATGGTTGTTATAGGCCGATATGTATGAAATTATTATAAACGGCTATTATATAAACGGTCGATATTACCAAGAATCACAACGATATAATGAGCATAGGTTATAGGACGACAACCAGATTAGTGANATTAAATCCAAATTTTCTGTACATAATCCGGTCAAAAACTATAATTCACATGGAGTACAATTTATGTAGAACTTATATATAATTATGAAAGTTATAGATATATTGTATACCATTTCTACACTCAACATACAAATTATATATAATTTATTCATGTCTTTTTTTCGAGTTTCAATATGAAATTCCAACCAAAATCACCTCGAATCTTCACCAAAGTATCTCAAAATTGAGATACAAACTCCAAAAAATATTCTCAATCATTTGCAACAATATCCAATCCAAATAAATAATAATTTTGCAAAATTCGATTTCGAATTCAAAGCTTCTAAGCTTAATGGATATCAATGGAGTTTAAGCTCTTGTATACCCAACCAACTTCAACATAGTTTCAATTACACGGTCAATTAGATTGAGTTTCCAAATGCCACTCATGTTGGCAATATCTTGTTTATTCATCTAAAAACAAGTTCTGGTAACCCATTTGTATTGGTGCTTCACGTATGTATTCTATAGCTTTTACCCAGTTGAATCTTTTTTCTTCACCATTTTTCAAAACTCCGAGCATGTTCATCTACAAAAGGCATCTAGAGGCCGGTGCTTCTAGAAATTGGAGTAGCATACGACCAAAACCATCTTGAGCGATCTTCTCCTATTTTATTCGTAATGTATGCTATGTGCACCTTCTGTCAAATACGATCATTTCTAATCATTCTAATTTTATATGAACGTATATTCATCTTAATATTTGCTTCGCTGCAACATTCATGTTGTGCTTATGTTAAACTTTGCAGTTCAACATTCACTCCTGCATAACATTGTTAGTCTAACTTGTTTTATTTTCGTACACAACACTTCTGTTAATTTTTCCATCTTGTGATTCTATATGAAACATCAATGTCTCCATTCTCCTTGAACGCCAGGGCTTAAACATCAAAAATGTTGGCATTTAAGTATCACAATCTCGTCTAATCTCACCTGAATTTCACTTTTCTTATGCTAATTGAACTTGCAATGCATATATCCAATCTTTACTTATTGTAAAACACTTGTAGTCTGTTTGACCAAGCTTCTAAAATCTGCTTATTTTGAGAAGTGATTTTTCCAAAAGGGCTTTTCAAAAAAGCACTTTGGGGAGAATCGGTTTGTGTATGGCTAATTAATTTGAAAAGCTTTTTTGAGCAGTAATTAGTGTTTGGCCAAGCTTTTGAAAACTGCTTCTAAGTGTATTTTTCTCAAAAGTGTTTCTCAGAAAAGTGCTTTTGGAGGGAAGCTACAATTTTCTGCTTCTCAAAAACTGCTTCTGCTTCTCCTCGAAAGCACTTTTTCTCCTTCTAAAAGCTTGGCCAAACACCTCAATTTTTTACCGAAAGCACTTTTGGCCAAAAAAAGCACTTTTGACCCAAATATAAGCTTTGGCCAAACAGGCTATTACTCTCCAAGGTGTTTCTCCATTGTTTAAGCTTTTGGTACATCCTCACTAATATTATCAATTAGCACAATATCATCACCAAATAGCATACACCACGAGAGCTCATATTGTATGTGCTGACTAGCTGAACCATAACCATGCTGGTCCCTAGCTTAAGCCCATGATTATGGGAAACTTCTTTATATCTCCTATAAGCATTGATGGGTAATCTACTAAAAATGCTACCTAACCTGTTACTATAATAGAGTACACTATTCAGATAGTACAAACGCCTTTTATCATGGAGGATCAGCAGGAAAAGAAAGGAAAGAAAAGACAAAACAGAAAAGCAACTTTGTGCTTAATCAATTAAGCTGAGAAGAAATATATAATGACATGAATCACAATAACAACAAAAGTAAATACAAGAATGCACCTCTCATTTGCATATCCGCAGATAAAACAGAGTTCAATAGATGCCAAGCAGAGAACACAATGGCAAATATGTTGAACATGCAATTAAAGCAACCAAAATATGTTTTAACTAAAGGCAATCAACCAGTATCAAATCTGTACTGATAAGCACCAGAAAATGACAAAAAAGCTTCTGAAAGTACCATAAATCAGCTTCTCATACAAAACCTATCTCATTTATATATATGAAACAAGATCATAATAAATATTAGTTACATCCTAATCTTTTTCCCCTTGAAGCTTGAAATGTCAAGAATCATCGGTCTACCTATAATAGTAGACAAGTTTTAGTCTGAATTTTAGGTGTTTTGCAAATATTTCAAGCAAAAGTAAAATTTCAAAGGGGAGTGACTCATGGAAACTACACCAACACATCTCTCATCAACCATTTGCTTAAAGAAGTTGATGAATGCTATATAACAACATCCTAATATATCAATCTAATATTATAACTTCCGTTGAGCTGGAAGTTTCTTCCATCAAATTGCAACTCCTTGCTCCTGTACCACCAATTGTATTTTCTTCCCCGATTCCTTCAGGATCGGTGCATTCAATTTCTTGTATTACTTCAAGAAGTTCTCCGGGCATAGCTGCTGGATCCAATTCTCGACAACCCTTAGGAGCATTTGGGCCTTCTTTTCCCGTAAGCAAGTAGGACGAAATCTGATGAGAAAATCGGCAAATTTCTTCCCTAGGAATTTTTCTTATTTCCCTGGGGTTCAAATGCTTGTGGAACACCGTCTTGAAGCCAGCAACTTTGACGAGAGGAATAACTAACACACCTTCCTCATTAAAATCTTCAAGTACTTCAATCAAATCATATTTGTGTATTACACCATCCTCTGTAAACTCATTCCATTCTGGAGACCAGTTTCTGTATAAAGCCCAAACTTCCCCTTTCCGAGGAAATACTTGAATTGAATCACCGGGACCTTTTGTCCATCTGACCTTGTGTGAGAAGCAGTTAATAGAGCTTCTAATTTCATGTCTGGCTCTTCTGAAGTATCCACATGTTCTCGGAACAGAATTAACACAGTATAGTGAGCCCGTTTCATTATTGATGTTTGAATTTAACCAACTGATTCTGGCCTTGAATGGATTTAGAGAAACCACTTGAAGAATCATGGCATAATACCGAGGCATCCCATCACTGTCATCATATGCAGCCCAGACTTGGTCAGGTCCAAAACAACTTTCTACTCTATCTCTATCAAAATTGTGGAAATCTGAATCTGGAACATCTATCGACATGCACTCAACAGGTTCATTATCTAAATACTTGCCAAAATTTTCAGAACAAGACCTAATTGCAAAGACTTTGGTTTCAGTTATAACTTGTTCACAAGCTGCATCATGATCTTCTCTGACATCAAATTCCGAACCATGATTTTTTCTCTCCTTAGCTACGTTGGTTAAAATTACCTCGCTTGAAGACGTAGATGCGGTCACAGTAGTTGAGCCCTGTTCACTTAGCTTTTTCAATATTTCCTTCTTGGCCTTCTCCATCAGCAAATTTTTGACATCATAGCGGGATATCTCCTTTTCATTACTCAACCTTTCAGTTTCAGCTGGACTAGCTGTGCTGGCTCCAGCAGATTCGTCTATGCCTTTTTTCCTCTTGGAAGCATTAAACTGTGCAGCTGATATAGTTCCACTTGGTCTTGGCCTTTTATTTTTCCTTCTCAATGCCTCCTCTCTTTTCGTCGCTGTCTGTGCTTCTTGACGCTCTCGTTTTACTTTCTGATATGCTTGCTGAACCATATTAGCTGCTTGAACAGCAGATGCATGACCAGAAGTTTTAGAAAATGGGCTCCACTGGAAGTCAGAAGACCCTATATTTGGTGTGCTTGAACTGTTTCTTCCTGTAGTTGGTGCATTCTTTTTCATATCCTGGTGGTACACGTTCTCTTGCTGCTGAGAATTAGACTTCTTTGAGCCATTGGACGGTGCTGTTGTTTCAACAGCATAGAAGGCTTCATGACAATTGGGACACAGAAGATTATGGTTAAGATACATCCGCATATACTCATACTGCATCTTGCACCGATAGCAAACAGTCCAAAAGGTACGACGCTCCTTCGTTCCAGATGAAGGACTACTCTTTTTATTGGCATTATTATTACCCTTTGGTGGCCTCGCTCGCGAAGGAGCAGCAGCATTCTTTGCGAAATCGTGAAAACCATTCTGCCTATTTTGCTGCGAAGAAGAATCTACATTTTCAGCTTCAAATCTCTGCTGCAAGATACTAGCATTTCTATTGTCGTAAATTGATTTCTTGTTCTTATCAGACAATAAGCTCCACGCTTCTGAAACGTGCTTAAAAGCTCCTTCAGCCCCAAATGACTTATTCTTATCAGGATGAAGCATGAGAGCTAATTTCCTATACTGTTTCCTTATCGTCTCGTCATCAGCTTTTGGACTAACACCAAGGATTCCATAGAAGTTTCCTTCAAAATTAACTTTGCTCTCAGCAGCAATATGCACGTCGAGTATCACCAACATTTGACTAATTCCCTCAAGTCCAGGATTCAAATTTTGGGCCTTTAAAGCAAACTTTTTCGCCCCCAAAAAGTCCTTAGCCAAGAATTTCTTCTCTGCAATTTCTTTAGCCCTCAAAGCATCATCTTTGTTGCACTCCATCTACCATATACCCCTCTCTTTCAACCCTTGCTCTTCTTCTTCTTCTCATGTACAACAATTTCACCATAAAACAACAATGACCATGCCCTAAAATTAGAAAAATGTATAAAACAAATTAAACTAACCTGTTCCACAATTACCATGCCCTAAAATTACTTAGAAAATGTACAAATATTTCTCAAATCTTCAATTCAATAAATGAAATGCAAAAGATTAAAAAAAACAATTGTTTAAATATATTTTCTTACTGGATTATATACCATAAATGCACAAACACCAAATTAAAGTAAAATCAAATTAAGGAAAAAACAGGGTGATACTTAGATACACTGAGTATGAAATCAATCATGCAGTCATTAATGCGGCTAATCAAAATAATTATATGACAGAAAATAATAGTTAAACATTTAAAAAACAGCTTATCGAATCAAACATAAACGAAAAAAAAGTAACCAACGAACTTTTAAGTTTTTCTAATTATTTCTCTTTATACCATGGTTGAGGGAAGATCTGGTAACCCCTGATTGTTTAGTGCGCGAAAAAGCAAAGAATATTTTGACGTGAATTTCTCCGGCGACCGGCTATGACTCTTCCACTACCTCCGGTAAAGACGCACTGCTGTTGATTATGTTCCGAGTGCCACGTAGGTTTGTGTTTATAGGCTATCTCCAATATTGGGCTTGGGCTTCGACTTGGGCTTGGGCCAGAAAATATTAATTTTTAAGTAATCACCAAAAATTTGAAGGGAATCTTACGAAAATGTCCCCAATAAGTTCTAACTTACTTACCTCTAATTATTAATTGTGGACTTTTCAAAACTAGTCAAAAAGAACAATTGAAAAAATCCAAATAAATAAGGACTATTTCTTTCTAAGAATCACACATAAAGATCTCCTTCCATATATTTAAGCGTGATCAGCAACATTAATGCAAGACGAAACGGAAATTTCTTGGATGAGTTAACAAGCAAGATTCCAAAAAACTATGCAAAAAGAGATATTTTTCAATGGGTATTCTTGAAATTCATTGAAAACATATAGATGAGTCAATATACAAAATTTGAGGAAGATTGGAGGTGATTTGGTATCAAATTCAAAGTTATAATCGAGTTTAAAAAATTATTCTGCGACACATATATCAAACATGATCACACATGTATCTCACACATAAGTATACATGGATATACATATGATACACCAACAAAACACAGTGTGATAAACATATCATTTTTTCTATGTTCATCTTCTACTTCGAATTTACAATTCAAACCACCTCAAAACTCTACCAAATCATTTCAAAACTAAGATTAAAATTTCTTAAGATGTATCAAATCTATTCCAACAACACCCATCCAAAAGAAAACAAATTTTTGGTTTTTTCTTTGCTACAAATAACTAATTAATATTGATAATACTTTATTAACTGGAAATTTTTTGTACTAACTATAATGATCCAACCAGTTATTTTATGTGTTTGAGCCCATTTTCTCTTGAAGCTTCCCGTATGTGTGTTTGTGGTTTTCTGACTTGCAGGGATGCTTGGTTTCGTTTTGGGAAAGTTTTGGCTTGAATTGGATCAATTGGTTCTTAGTTTGGAGGCTTAAGTTGGAAATATTGATCGAGGTTTAACTTTTGTGAGAACAATCCCGGAACGGCATTTTTGATGGTCTCAATAGGTTTCTACAGTGATTTTGGACTTAAAGTATGCTCGAAATTTAATTCGGAGGTTCCAAGGTTGATTTGGCTCTTTTTGCCAAAAGTTGACAATTTGAAGGTTTAGAAAATTTTCAGGTTTGACCATGGTTTGACTTTATGTCTATCGGGCTCGGATCATGATTTTGGGACTTGGAATAGGTTATTTTATCATTTGGAGCTTGACTGTAAAGTTTGGTGTCATTCCGAGTTGGTTTGGTAGGAATCGGAAGCTTGGTTGTGATTTTAGCGACTCTTGGATTTCATTGTAATTTTCATGTGCTTTGGTGTATCATTCGTAGGTTCGGATTTATTTTGGTGTTTACTTATGTGCATGTTTAGTGGCCGGGGGGTTTAGGTGAGTTTCGGACGTGTATCGGACTGGATTAGACTTAATTCAGGGCTGTTGGTGTGTTGGTGTTGCGCTTATCGCAATTTCGAGCACCAATTCGTAATTGCGAAATTGGCATAGGGACTCAGGAATCGCAATTGCGACGCCTTGATCTTAGTTGCAAAGGTAAGTCTTTGGCTGGGCAGGTCGCAAGTGCGACCAATTGGCCTCTTTTGCTAAGGGAATTGACTTCGGAAATGCGAAGTCAATGTCGCATTTGCGACATTCCCTGGGTTTGTCGGGCAACACAATTGCGATCCGTTGGTCGCATCTGCGTGGCTTTGCATTTGCGAATCCTGTGTCGCATTTGCGACTTCTGCAGCTGAACAAAAAGTTAGGATTTCGGGATACTCACTTTATCATATTTTGGAGCCCTAGACTCGGTGGGAGGCGATTTTGGGAGGAGATTTTCATACAAAGATATTGGGTAAGTGATTTTTGACTCACTTTTGATTATGTAACATGATTATTTATGAATTTTAACATCTAAATCATGAGATTTGAAGAGAAATTTTGGGGATTTTTTACTATGTTTTAAAAAATAAATATTTGAGATTTGAGAGTCGAATTGGACTCGGATTTGAAAACTAAACACATATATGGACTCGTGGGGTTATGGATAGTTAAGATCTACCCTTTGACTCAGGTTTAGACCGGGCGAGCTCGAGATTGACTTTTATTGACTTTTGAGGAATTTTGTAAGATCTTAACTTTATTAATCGAAATTGATTTATCTTGCATTATTTGACATTATCAAGTCGGATTTTACAAGATTTGAGCCGAGGGAAGGTGAATTTTAAGGAAAAAGATATTTTTAAGTGTTGATCCGGTCCATTGAGTTAAGTATCTTGCCTAAATTTGTGTGGGCGGAATTACCCCTAGGATATGGTCTATTTGCAATGTTTGTACTATGTGAAACGACGTGTGCATAAAATGACGAGTGTGTACACGGGCGCATATGTGGTAATTGACCGTATTAGACCTTAAGCTATTAATATGCCTTGATTTGGATTTATTTGTTATATGAAGCACGTCTTAGTGTCAATTTAATTTCTTTACTCTTATGTTATTATTGAAATTCTTCTACACGTTATTATTGGAGCCGTGAGTTATGTATTGTTGCGGTATTGGTATTGTTGTTTTGGTGATGTTGTGGCATATGTGCACGTGAGGTGTGAGTTGTTTATTGTGTTGTGAATAAGATGTGCATTCAACGATATAAGGATGGTGCGAATTGATGCGCTTGCGGCGAGATAAGGGGGTCTATGCGCGTGTTGCAAGTAAGGGGAAATACTTTAGTTTGATGCACACGCGGTGAGATAAAAAGGCTTATGTGCGTTAAGCTATTTAGGAAAAATGTTTTAAATGTGAGGCTCATACGGTATCATAAGGGTGATTTGTGATAATGATGTGTGGTACATCGGGGTGATTCTTGTTGTAAATTTTGTTTTGGAACGACTTAATGGTTCGAATATGTCATTGTATTCCTTAATCGACTTCAGGTCATGTTATATTTGTTTTGGTTAATTTTTCGTGTTATCACATGCTTACTCCTTGTTGCCATTTACTGATCATGCCCTCCGTTTTCAGTTCTATGTTGATATTCTGCACAAGTTATATGTCTAGTGAGTGTGTTGACTTGAACCTCGTTACTACTCCACCGAGGTTAGTTGTGATACTTACTGGGTACCGATTGTGATATACTCATACATGCTTCTACACATTTTTTTGTAGATCCAGGTATCTTTGAGCTAGTTGGTCATTAGTGAGCCAATTTTCGAGTTGCGGTGGAGACTTCAAGGTATACCTGATGTTCGCTCGTAGGCCTCGGAGTCACTTTCCTTTACTGTTCCTTATTAGTGTTATTCTGTTCCAAAATAGTGATGTATTTTGAGATTTCTTGTGTACTCTCAGTAGAGCTTATGACTCCGTACTACCAATTTTGGGATGTATGACTATTAATCATTTTTTTGACTATGTTATGTCATTTATCAGTTTTTATTTAACAGCTAAGTTGATTTATTTAATTAATCTCATCATTGTTAGGCTTATCTAGTCTTAGAGACTAGGTGCCATCACAATTCTCAAGGTGAGATTTTGGGTCGTGACAAGTTGGTATCAGAGCCTAGGTTCATAGGTTCTACGAGTCATAAGCAAGTTTAGTAGAGTCTTGCGGATCGGTACAGAGACGTTTGTACTTATCTTTTAGAGGCTACAGAACTATTAGGAAATTCCACTTTCATTCCTTATCATGCGAATTTGTTGATTTCGGAACTTGAGCCTTTCTCTTTCCATTCTCCCATAGATGGTGAAGACATGAGCTTCAGTTACTGACGATGCTGCCCCCAATGCCGGTGTCGCTAGAGGCCAGGGAAGAGGCCGAGTCAAAGGCGGAGCACGTGTTGTAGCGAGGTGCGGTGCTAGGTCCACGACTAAGGAGCCACCAGTAGCTCTGATTGGGGCACAGGCACTCGAGGCGCCTGTTGCAACCACTGGATTTTAGGAGACTTTAGTGCACTTCCTGAGCATGTTCGGTACCTTGGCTTAGGCGGGATTGATCCCAGTTGCACCAGCTACTTCTTAGGTTGGGGTGGAGCTCAGACTCACGCCGCCCGTACTTTAGAGCAGCGAGCTCATGTTGATCAGGATCCGAATATTATGCCGATACAGCCTGTGATTGCGGTTCAGCCTGAGGTTAAGCCAGTGGCCAGTGTCACTGTATTCTTCACACTATAGGCATAGTGGAGGTGAGCGGGATCAACTTACTACTTTACAAATAACGGGGTTGGCATCAGGGGCGAAGCTATGTTGGCCCAGGGTGGTCAATTGACCACCCTTCGCCGAAAAATTATACTACGTATAAGGTAAAATTTTACTTGTTATTGATTAAAAATAAACTTTGAACACCCTTGCATAGCCCAGTGTGTTCTTTGAACACCCTTATTGAATTTCCTTGTTTCGCCGCTGGTTGGCATATAGATAGTGGTTGGCTTAAGATGAAGTCGGTCAGTTGGCGCTCCGCTACTTACTTGGGCTCATTCACCATTCTGTTTTTGAGGGAGTTCGTTTGGCAGACCCTCAGGAACACGTTGCGCACCGAGTTCGAGCAGTTGCACCGGGGGACTTTGATTGTGTCCGAGTATGCTATGAGGTTCAATGAGTTATCTCGTCATACACCAGCTTTCGTCTCCACTGTTAGAGACAGAGTCTATTGGTTCATTGAGGGACTTGGTTACGGTCTTATTTTGGATGTCACGGGAGTTGGAGGCTAATACTCCATTTTAGCAGGTTGTGTGGAGATCACTAGGAGGTAAGAGCGTATCCATGACCAGGAGAGAGGAGATAGGAAGGCCAGGAGGCCCCGAGATTTTGGAGGGTTCAAAGGTTCTTGCTTAGTAGTACCATCTCGTCATGGCAGATGGTTCATCAGTCGGCCAGTTCAGTCTGCACTTTAGGTTATTCGCAATGCTCCAGCTATCCAAGGACCTTAGAGGACTAATTTTGGACAGTCATCTTCCAGTGTACCTTCCCCTGAAGAGAG